TCAGCACCTCGAATTGGCCAGAAGCCTACTGGTAACCAGTGCAGCTCAGAGAACAGAGGTGTTACATGGGCATACTATGGCGTGCTCATGACTGTCCATGCTAGCGTTTTCTGGATCAGCTGCAGCTTCCAAGTGGCCTTCAACGGTAGTCACGTGTAGAGTACATTGTAACAGGCCACACACAAAGTGACCAAAGCAGGCCTCCCAGTGACAGTGAGTGACTGTGACAGTGTCCTTACAAATTTGGTAAATATTTGAATGACATGCCACAACCATATAATTGATTTGGGGTTGCTCAAAGGAGGCTACTATACAACTAGGCTTAAGTTTTAAAGACTCCAAAGATATGATACAGAAGGAGAAGCAACTTAAATGCTGAAACTGCTATTTGATCACAATTGCTTCATTAAATAAGGATAGACCTTTTTAGATGAAATAAAAGCTCTTGTTAATTGTTCATTCTGAGAGATTATTTTTATACTGGCTGTTAATTATTAAATACTGGTTTGATTTTAATAATGGTTCTGACGTGTTAAATTGATATAAGATCACTTTTATATGCAGCACAAATCTTAAGTTACTTCAAAAATTCTTATTTGATTTTACGTAGTCTGCAAATCACGTTCGTATCTTCTTTTTGTCTTTTATTTCTTTTACTGCTCTTTTTTGTGGTCCTGCTTTTAAATATCTATTAAAAATAAAAAGGGAAAAATCATACTGCAAGTGTGCAAACATTCAATAAGTTAATTCAGCAAAGCCATATTTGAACTTGCTTGGATTGTAGTTACAGCATCTGCTTGAAATTCCTGCACTATTTTCAAAGGGGCCTTGGAAATTCAGGTTTGGGTTTCTTTTCTTTTCTTTTTGCACTCTTGAAGTCTTGATTTCCAGATATGTTTTCATGTAATGTTTTACCCTGTGGACATATGTATTCGTGACACATGCTAAAATGAGTTTATTACCATGGCTTTACCAGATGAAGAGGGATGAGTGCCTTTGTCTGTACCTCACCAAATGTTTACTAATGCTGAGATATCACTTTATTTTGTAAAGTTATGTGAATCCAAAATATAAGGTTTTGTTTCATTGAGCATAGTACGGAAAAAGACGTAAGGCTTTAATTGTCACAGTTCAGTAAGGTTTAATATATTTTAAAGCTCACCTGATTCTGCCCCTTGGATGCTCGGATTGCTCTGACATAAAGCTTGTGCTGCTGAGGCGAGAGGCACTGCTGGTGCGGGAAATAGCTGACACATCGCTGACATCACTATCTGATGATTTGGCAGAGATATTATCACAACTTCTGTACTGATCGGTTTGTATGTTATACTAAAGATGAAAAGAGACAATGTGAGATCCCTTGACACATGCAAAAACAAAAATGTCATGTCACTACAAACAACAGTTATGAGAGGTGCAACTTCAGAAGGCCACCAGTGAGAATTCTGCTGCTGCTGATTTTATGTAGAAACTAAAAAGAGAGAAAGAAATAGACCATTTCATGAAGTTTAGGGGAATAGTTGTGAGAAGCTAAACAGTAAGAAAAGAGTATTAGCATTAAAATGGATAAATAAAAATATTAATTTGCAAGTGACTACAATTCCGATTGTTTCTGTATGCACAAATTAACTCTGACTTAAAAAAAAAAGAAAAGACTAGTAGGCAACATTGTGCTAAGGAGCCAAAGATGAATTTGCCATTCTGATGTTCAGCATGAAGTTGCTTTTTTTTTTTTAAAACTTTTGCTGACAACAGCAGCACTTTAGAGTATTGAAATGATTAAGGGTGACAATCTGAGCTGCTAAATGATGATGAAGTCTCTTCCAAGTTTTTACTCTAAACCTGATTTCCAGCAGATACTTACTATAATCAGTGCCCATAATCTACGTATGGATTTAGCTGATCCCTAATGGAGATTCTTAAAAGTATTAGTTTTAGCAACAGAGGCATGGAAAGTATGCAGCAAAATAATTACAGTAGAACAAAAAGAACCCTGCTTCTTGCTGGCATTTTTGTTGTTGTTTAGTGCTACTTTTAACAAAAGGAACAAGCATCATAAATCAGCCAAAATTCATGTTACTCTATTTGATTTCAGAATTACTTGAAGATAACCTAAGTATTCATATTTTTAGTAATTTAATAGCAAATAATTTAATCACCATATTTGTCAGTTTGGACAACTAGTTCAGAATATAAATGCAGTACACTGACTATAAACAATATAGATTTGAAAAATTAAAAAAAACTTCAGAAATTTATCAAATCATCTATAAGTTACTGTATGTTCAGTTTCAAAATCCTTCTGTCAGTGTTTCATGTCTAGTATGGCAATTAAACTCCCCACTTTACCTTCTGAATGCTACATAAGAAGCTTCAATATGTAAATGTATTATACCAAATTAGGAACTCGTATATACAAATAAGCTTTCTGCTAGCAGCACTCTAGAATCTTGCCCTCTAGGCTTAAATCCTGGGTCTTTCCCTCCCATCTGCCTGAATCAGCTGCTGTGTAGCTGCTTGTTTCCTGGCTTTGAATGTTTCTGCCATCTATCCCTTGTTTATAAAATGGAATCAGAGATTCCCACTTCACCAGTTTCAACCCCTGAATTATTTGATTAGGATTAGGTTAGGTATTGGACCACTTTCTAGTCTCTAATGGGCCTTTCTCTGTCACACATCACCTTCTTCAAATGTAGAAGAGATAAGCATGCCCAAAATAATTCAGTAGTTGTACAACTATGGTTTCCATTCAGTTTCCAGAGCCAGAAACCACTATAGGGCTCTTTCTAATCTAGAGTAAACTACACATTAAATGACATACCTATTTATGAAATCCAACAATAGTTTCTTTTAGGCAAAGTAGTATGAGCAAAGTGCCCTTTGGAACTAAGGTTTAGTCTGTAGATATTCTCCTACCTTGGGATGCCAAAACACAAATATATGTCTGGAACTCTGGATAGAGGGAGTTGTCAGGGGAAAATGGCAAAGTAGAGGAGAGTAAAGTATCTTTCATTCCCAGTCATTGAAGCATTTGTCCTATTTGCCTCCCCTGATTGTTTTTCTCCTTGTTTTTCCCTATTAAAACTTTGTATTAAAATATTATTTATCTTATATTATGGCAGTATCATTCCACATGAGAAGGCAGGCTTGTTAGGAATCAGTAAATGTGACCATCAGTAGCTGATTTTTTCTTGCCTGAGTTGTGTACCTTGAAAACAACTGTCTATGCCATACAGAGCTGTATGAAGGCAGTATACTGGAGTCTTTGCACGAAAAGCATCTCCATAAAAAATCATGATGATACTTTCTGTTTTTCATCAATGGGAAATTTTTGGCGTAGTATATTTGCACAATACCATAAGCCATAAATCTGGAGAGGGCAGTTTCCAAACTACATGGCTCCAAAGTGTGGGAAGGAATGATTAGGCAGCACTCTACATTTTGAAGCAGCTGTGCAAGATTTGAAAAAGACACGACAACTTTAATGATTCAAAGTGAGGTGCTCTGTGAGGTGTTCTGTGAGTGTTGTGAAGCACCTCTTTCAAATGCATTACACTGCCAGTAACTAGCTTTCTTCTGCAAACTGGAAAATTAAAGATGTTACATGTTAAACAAAATCATAGAAATGTTTTTTGGAAATAATCACCTACTCTAAAAGTTGGTGTCACACTGCATAACGACTTTGTATAAGGAATTCCAGCAGTTATGCTTGGACGGTGCTACAAATGTTTACATGAATATTGCACCAGGTGGTACAAATATTGAGGATGGAGGTATAACCACTGATAACAATATAGCTGCAGTTAACACATACTTTCCAAATAACTATGAAATAAACTTCAACTATTACATAACATTTTGTGATACACAGATATAGAACTCTGCTATTAATTTATGAAACTATTAAACCATAATTGTAATGGAAGGCATAGGCGAGGAGGAGACTGGTCTGAGAGATCAAGGCTATCAGGAGTGAGGGGGTGCATTCCAGAGGAAGGGGAAAGGCAAGCACTTTCTCATCCTGCAGCAGGACCGTGAGAAGAAGAAGAAGAGGCTGAGGCTAGCCCCTCCCTAGACTCTCACGGGGTATATCTGCTAGTAGCTTTCGGATAGGTTTAGTCTGGTGAGATTCTCTCTATAGTGTGTAAGCAATAAAGGAACTACACTGGACTGGACTGTTTTGTTGTTCTTGGGCTGAACCTGACAATAATTTACACAAAGCAGCAATTTTAGCAATCTTAATAGCCAGTAAAGCATGAGAACAAAAGCACATTGTTCAAATAGTATTTTATCATTAAATACTTCTTTCCCATGAATACTTCAAAGTGGAAATCTGTTTGGAATATTAGACTAAGCAACCTTTTACAGGTAGTCCTGTTTAGTGACTGCAGTTGGGATTGGCAACTCAATCTTTAAGCAAAGCAGTTGCTACGTGAAAAATCACGTGACTGCGACTGTGCTTCTGATTTTACTTCGACTTTCTTTTGCTTTACAGTGTCAGAAGGATATGACCCCAAACAGCCGGGTGAGCCGAATGGCAGGGAAGATTTCCAGAACTTAGCTTTTGAGGAAGCCGGGTAAAAGGGCAAACCTCATAGCCCTTTTCCCCCACTCCCCGCCCTTGGGAATGCTCACCCCAGCACCGGGATAATTAGCCTGAAGGGAATTAATATTTTTATTTATGCTCATTGGAGAGGAAGGGATTACAAGAGAGTAAGCAGGCACACAATGGGGAATATACATTGAAAGGAATGTACTGGTGCTGGCCCTTTGCCTAGCCAGCTGCTTAGGAGACAGACAAAAGCTTATAGTGTGAAACTGATTAAGGTCTTGTCAATTTCAGGCAGCAGCTACAGCTGTTCTTATCAACTAATTAAGGCCACAGAGCTGAGCTTGTTAACTGGTGGTTGGCACTTTTAGGGACACACTGTGCTGGAGAAAAGCAGCTCAGGAAGATTGTTTAGGCAATCTCTTGAGGGGAAGGATAAAGGAAAAAACCTGGGTCAGATACAGGACAACCCATACTAACTGACTGTAATGGCAAACACCTGACTGAGAGAGATGCTGTGAAGGTCATAAATGTGGGCATTGGTCGCAACATTATTTTTTCATCACTGTCATAACTGCGAACAGTCACTGTCCAAGGGAGTTGCTAAACGAGAACTACCTGTATACTTTAAAGAAGTATAGCTATTTTACACACTGGGATTTTGCCTCTTCTTGAACTTCTCTTCTTAAAGGCTTGCTTATTCCTTCCCTGTCCCCAAGATCAGCTCTAAATTCCTTTGCACCAGTCAGGTCTATTCAAAGTAGTTTGAACTATTAAAGCTCCAACCCTTCTTTGCTAGTTTTTCATTTTTCTATGTATGTTTCCTTGAGAGATTTATTTACTTACTTACTGCTTACCGTTTTTGGCTACATAGTTCATATGGAATTCACTCAATATCCAATCAGATTTTCTTATGGAATAAAATAATGAAGTTTAATTACTAATTGAGAAAATATCTGTCAGTCAGTGTATTTCTTAGCAGGTGTTTTCTTCTCCTCCCCCTTCTTCTCTCTCTTGCATATACCTTGTCTATGGCTTTTAAGATGAAATGGAACACTTCCATTTATTCCACCCAGAGTCCCCTATTGTGGGGGAGATGGGCGGGGGAGAAATCCAATAAATAAATAAA